CCAAATAAGCAAAACATTTCAGAGAGACAAAAATGAGATTGGAGGCATAGCACTCCCTGACCTCAAAATCTATTACACAGCAGTAGTAGCCAAAACAGCATGGTACTGGTACAATGACAGGCACATAGACCAATGGAACAGAATCAAGAACCCGGAAATAGACCCAGCTATCTATGGTCAACTTATATTCAACGAGGAAATCAAAGTTATCAGATGGGGAAATGACAACCTCTTCAACACATGTTGCTGAAAAAATTGTACTTCCACCTGCAGAAAGCTGAAACAGGAGCCACATCTCACAATCATACATACAAAATAAACTCAAGGTGGATCAGAGACCTGGGAGTAAAGCCCCAAACCATAACGTTTATAAGAGACAAACTGGGATCAAGCTTAGAAGCGTTAGACCAAGGTATAAAGAGACTGCCAAATACAACCACAAATGCACAGTCTAAAGAGGATAAAACTGATGCAGGGGACCTTCTAAAGATTAAATCCCTGTGCACATCAAAAACTTTTTCCAACAGGGTGAAAAGAAAACCTACCAGCTGGGAACAAACATTTGGTAATCTCAGACAAGAGTCTCATAACTTGAGTTTATTTTTTCCCCAGTTCGTGGCTTTTCTTCTTTTACCGTGTTGTAGAAGTTTTTGGATGTGCATAGGGATTTGATTCTTAGAAGGTTCCATTCAATGCTTTTATTCTCTCCTGGGTGTAGTGAGAAAAACAGTTTCAAAGAGGTAAATGCTAATGTAGGAAAGATGAATTTCCTGTCCTGGTAAACAGACAGCTTAAACTACTTTATGTGACTAAATAAAAAGAGGAGAAAAATAATTCTAAGGCCAAGTAACTAGTTTTGCAGGCTGGAGAAAAACTGATGTCAGTTTTATAACTATATAACTGTAGTTCTTTAACTGATACATATTTAGAGAATTCTGAATTTATTAATACCACTTCATCAATACCATGGCTTTGTTGACTGGAAATCTTAGAGTTGTTTGATGTGTTTCCTAACCAAATGAGTTAATCCTAAGATCATTTCAGGCAAATAGCTGTTTGTATTCTTTTACAGTTATCTTTCACTCTCCTGGACAGTAGATCCACAAATTCTTCACCCATATGCATTGTCAATATTCCACAGAAAGCACATGACATGTGCTTAGCCCACACTAGCTTTTTGGATACCTACAAAAGCAACTGACTAAATAATATCTTTATCTTCCTTCTTTAGGTAAATCTTTCTCATACTGTATCTCTTACACTACTATGTTTCTTGGGGTGTTTTTCTTTTGTTTACAAAATAAGAATTGTGGGGAAGTATATTAATTTTCTGGGGTTTTTTTAAAAAAACCAAAGCTAATAACCCCTTTTTATTGTGCTTTACTACTCATTTCCTGTAAAATAACTTTATTCTCTGACAGTAACCTAATTTTCTCTCCTTTCTCTTTACCACATCTCAGTTACTGCCTGCTATCTCCTGCTTCTTCTCACCTGCTGTTTCTCTGTGCTGTTGCCAATTAATCAGTAGCAATGCAAGCAGAAGAGCAAGTGAATGAACATAAAAAAGAAAGAAGAAAAAGAATACATTCTAGAAATGCAGAAAGCCAAGTGTAGTCTAGACATGTTCTAGAAAAGTAAGGATCTAGCAGCCATCAGTGATGTTTTACATTCCAAAATAGGGTTGCAAAAGAAAATAAAGAAGTACTAGGGAAAAGGTCTGTAGGAAAATAGAACTAGAGATGGTGTTTGACTAAAACCAAACATATCCAAGCTTTGAGGATGCGGCTAACACAGTGCTTTGAGGAAAATTTATAGTTGAAAATGCCTAAATTAGAAAAGAGGAAAGATCTCAGCTTCACCATCTAGGTTTCCACAATTAAGAAGAGACAAACCGAAAGCAAGCAGAAAGGACAAAATTGAGCAGAAATCAAAGAACTCCAAAGTTAGTTCTTTGAAAGTGATAAAAATTGACAGACCTTGAACTAGGTGGACAAAGAACAAACAAGAAAGAAGACTGAAAATTACTAAATTTAGGAACAAAAGAGGGACCATCAGGACTGCCTTTACAGAGTTAAAAGGATTATCAGAGAAGGTATGTGATCCTCTCCTACCATTGCCCTTTACTGTTTAACAACCTTAATAGAGCACCAGTCTTGATTTAGCACGCGAATGTGGAAACCGAACCCCAACCCATTAACCCTGGAGTCAGTTTCGACTCATAGCAACCCTAAAGAACAGCCACTTTCATCAGTGGGGACTCTCCGTGCCTGCATGCTCTTGATCCCCACATCCAGTAGTGTATCTCCTGTTTCTCCTTTCCACTGTGGACAGTTAGAGGAGTTGAGTGCCCAGCACATGTAAGCACTGGATGGTTTTCCCACCCAGCAGATGTGTGTCTGGGCCTTTAAACTCTTCGATCCCAAAGATCACAAATACAGATGTACCTACAGGGTCTCAAGTGAGACTAGGAGGGTCTAGGGAGTCCCATACTGGAATCCAGGAAGAACTGCAAAGGGTGGCCACTTCTCCCACCCAACTGGTGGTCACCCAGGGAGAATGTGCACCCAGGGTGGTCAGATTAGCACCTTACCCTTTTCAAGTCAGTTAGGACACTAGATTTTTAAGTGAGGTTGTCCAGCTTGAAATGTAAGCAACTGATAACCCATTTTTTAATTGATATGCATATAATTATTCATATACATGTATTTCATTCCTATACATAGTGGAGTTGGGTGTGTTTGTGTTTCATACTTTCCCTTCACTGACATATTTCATACAATCATTCCCATACATTGGTTTTTGTAAAATTAATCACCAATTGGGCTATTCCCACCATTACCCCATCTTTTCAGGTCGCCATCAATCTTTCCCATTTCCTTTACCCCCTTCCCTTCCCTCACCAAATTATGTGACCCTGATTTTCCCCCTACCTATCCTAAGCTCTCTGCATCTAACCCTTCCCCCCTTCGACTCCCATGCATGTTTTACTAGTTAGTCTTCCATATCTACAATAATGGTCTTGTGCAGTATTTGTCCTTATGAGATTGTGCTAGTTCACTTAGTATAACACCCTCCTATCTCTCCCAAGTTAGATATTAATTTACAAAATCATTGCTACTGCGTGTTGTGTAGTATTCTGTCATGTGAATGTACCATAATTTCTCAATCCACTTGATTGTGGTTGGACATCTGGGCTGTTTCTATGTTCTTGCAATAGTGAACACACGGCTTTGAACATTGGTGTACAAGTCTCTGTTTGTGCCTCCAGTTTCATTCTCTTGGGGTATATTCCAAGTAGTGGGATAGCTGGGCCATATGGAATTTGTATGTTCAGCTTTCTGAGAAAACGCCAAACTGCCTTCCAGAGTGGTTTTACCATTTTACAATCCCACCAACAGTATAAGAGTTTCTATCTCACCACATCCTCTCCAGCATTTATTACTTGCTGCCCTGCTAAACTTTGCCACTGCTCCTGGGGTGAGATGGTATCTCACTGTGGTTTTGATTTGTGTCTCTCTCATTGCCAGTGCTTTTGAGCATTTCTTTATGTGTCTGTTGGTCATCCAAATGTCTTAATCTGTGAAAAGTCTTTCCATGTCTTTTGTCCATTTTGTTATTGTGCTAGCAGTCTTTTTCTTGTGGAGGCCATGCAGGATTCTGTAAACTTCGGTTTTCAGACCCTTGTCAGTGAGGGTATTGCCAAATATTTGTTAGCAGTCTGTAGTTTCTGATGACCAATTTTGTTAATGCCATGTGCGTCAGCGCTGTGTGGGTAGATCAGAATACCCGCTGTAGACCAACTCTGCCCCCCCCTTGCCCTGTCCCACCCATCAATTGATGACTTCCCCTCCCAGCCTGGCCATAAAGATACCTAGTGAGGCTGTCCCCTATCCTCTTCCCTGATTGGGGCACTTGGGACCTGGACTTCAATTTGTTTCAACAGATTAAATAGAGCATTTGCTAAAATCAAGCTTCCGGCAAAATAAGTTTGTGAAAGATGGCGTTTTTTCCATGTTGGCACATTTTAGTACAGTCCTGTCAGTGTGGTGATAGGGTGTTTTCTGCACCTCCCCTTCCCCCAAAGGGAAGTGGTCATCAATTTCTTCAGTCACCTCTCACAGACTCTCTTCTTCTTTCTCTTACCACCCCCTTTTCTTTAAAGAGGAAATGATAAAGCACGCAGCAGTGCCTGGGTGATCTAACTGGTGGATTTGATCCCTGGCCCCACTGTGCTCGATCAGCTGTGTGCACACCATTGTCCCAACAATGCTCTTCACACGCAGGTCATTAAGATGTTCAGGTGAATGATGTGTGTGTGCTCCATATGCACACATGATCAGGGCATGAGGAGAAGGGGGACATGAAGAGTGAACACACACCGAAAAAGCAGGCAAAATCAGCTCAGTTCGAAGCTTAAGAAATGGTTACTTGAAAACCGTGGCTTCTCTGAATCTTTTGCCTGTCGTGTGTTGATTTCACCAGTCCCGAAAGAATGGAGCATAACAGGAAAGATGTTTCTTTATCATCCACCACAGCACGAGCTGGTGTTGAAGTGTCAAACAACTTCCACTGCCCGTGCTAAACAGAGAGGCATCATTTCTTACTTGCAGATTCCCTCTTCCATTTCCCTTCATGGGAAAGAAACAGGATTATCTCTAAAGGTGACCAAGTGACGTATCTGTATGTCAAAGAGAAAGATTATTTCCTGTCCCCCTTATTTCCATCTGTAAGTGTTCCTTTGGCTGCATGTGCCCAGAGGAATGTCTGTTTTCTCACATACACTTGAATGTAGAATGTTGGAATGCACCAGGCCCTGCCCTAGCAGGTACATGCCACTTGGGGTGAGGGTGAATGCGTGGCATCATTGTGTGCATTTTAACCACATGGAAATCTAGTTGATGGACACTCGCCGATGAGTGAGCGCGCCAGTGAAAGATAGATGCAGCCTATCCTTGCACCCACCTGAGTGATGTGCCCTGTTCCCGTGTCCTTCCTTTCAGTGATCAAAGGAGGACCCCTGGAACACAACTACCGGTTGAAGCAGTTCCATTTTCACTGGGGGGCCATCGACACCTGGGGCTCTGAGCACACTGTGGACAGCAAATGCTACCCAGCAGAGGTATGTCACACACTCAGGATGAAGACACTTTTAGAGGCGTGGGGTGGTTCCCCAGCTTGTTGGCGTCAGAAATTACTTCTCAGTAAGAACCTGGCAAGTCCTCTAAGGGCTCAGGGGCATACTTTTTTAAAAAAAATTATTATTGTGGTGAAAATATACACAAAAAAGCATGCACCAATTCCTCAGTTTCATTGACCCCGATTTCATTCTTTGAGTTGTGCCCCTCCGGTTGTTGTGGTTGTGTGGCATTGATTTTGATTTCGAGTGCCCCTGTAGGATATAGTAGAGCAGAGCTGCCCCACAGTGTTTACTAAGCTATAATCTGTAGGGGGGGGGTGGCTCTCTGGTGGTCCCACAGGCTGAGCTGTGGAGGTTCAAATCCACCAACTCCTCAAAAGAGAGAGTGCAGCTTCTCCCACGCGATTTATGGCCCAAAGATTCAGTGGCAGGTCAGCAGTGAGTAGGTTCCAACTTGATGCCAATGAGTTTACCTTAATGGGGATGGACCCCTGGTGGCATAGCGGTTAAGTGTTGGGTGACTAAGCCAAAGGCTGGTGGTTACAATCTACCAGCCACTTCACAGTAGAAAGATATGACAATAAACGTGTACGACCTCAGGACGCTTGTGAGGCAGCCCCCTCTGTCCTACAGGGTCATGGTGTGTTGTAACGAATCAGAGTGCTAACTAAAAGGTCCACAGTTCGAATCACCAGCCACTGTGCAGGAGAAAGATGGACATTCTCCTCCTGTGAAGACTTACAGCTTCAAGAGTCCAGTGGAGGTTGGCTGGGAGCCAGCACTGACTGAAGGCGAGTGGATTCGGTGGGTTATAGGAGCCCTGGTGGAGCGACAGTTAACTGCTAGACTGTTAGGTCAGCTGTTCACACCTATGAGTGGCTCTGTGGGAGGAAGATGTGACAGCTTGTTTCTGTGATGATCTTTACAGAAACAGGTTACCAGGATTTTCTTCTGTGCAGCAGCTGATGGGTTCCTGCTGCAAACTTATCAGGCACTTGGCAGCCAAGCACTTTACTTACCACTGTGCCACCAGGGCTCCCCACAGCCAGTTCGGATCTGTGAAAATGTCGCCTTCTCCTCATGGTGAGCAATGTGGCTGAATTGAAGACCTGGAAATGGAACTCTAGCCGAATTCTGAGCGAGGCTCTAGTTCAAGCGGAAAATCAGAGCCTGGGCAACAGCACAGAGCCTCAGAGTCAGACAGATCTGAGCGGGAGACAAGATCAAGGCACAGAAGTAGATACAGAGAAAGGTCACATTTCAAAAACATTGCTGGCATCAAAGGCCAGTGAAGTTGGAGTTGGGGTCCTCATCTAGAGAGCAGGGGGCAGAGTTAGCAGTGACCTTGACATTTCTCACTGGGGAGGCTGTAAAGAAAGTTCACTGGTGCTGAATGAGAAAGTGTGTGTGTGTGTGTGTGTGTGTGTACACACGCGTGTGTGCGCACATCCCACTGACTCAAATCCAACTGGCGCAGGAGGAGATTGCCCCTCTTTCTCCAGTAGAGCATCTGGTGGATTCATACCACGCACCTTCAGGGTTTGCAGCACAGCTTCTTGCCACTAGGCCACCAGAATTCCCCTCTGAGGAATCATTTTAAGATAAATATAAAGACTGCATAAGGCATAGAATATCTCCTTAGAACTCAATTTCTCATTTAGTTTGAAATGTCATATGAAATAGCAAAAGATACACTTTCTAAATGGTTTTCTCTCAAAGAAGAAGTTTATCTCCATCTCCTGTCTGATTTTCTTAAGAGACTGTTTCTCTCAATCTTCAGTGTTTTGAAGCAGGTGGATTTGGGATACTGGGACTTTGCACAGATTTGGATGCAAATGGACCGATGTTGGCCTGCCACTGGCATGGAACTTGCTTTGCTGTAGAAATGGTCTTCTCATTTTCTCCCCAAATAAGTCCCTCGATGTCAGTGTAATAGTATTTCTTGACATTCCTATTTCCTTCTGCAGCCGACTGTCACCTGCTTTGGGCAATGACTTTGATGTGGATGCGTGTTTAAATAGTGACAGGCCGTCGTCTATTTAACCCTGCTTGTATGTTGTTTCAGCTGCACTTGGTGCACTGGAATGCAGTGAAATTTGAAAACTTCGAGGATGCGGCACTGGAGGAGAATGGTTTGGCGGTGATAGGAGTCTTTTTAAAGGTAAAGCAAAACCTGACAACCTGAAAGAATGTATTCTAAAGTGAAAAGATAGAGCGCCATTATTTACATTAAGGTGATGAGGATCAATCCACTGCTCAAAATAAGCAGTGGGGAAATGATTCGATTGTTACAAATGTGTCCTCAGCGGCATCAAGCCACGCTCTCCAACAGACCACTCATGAGCATGTGGCCACCGCGCACTTGCAATGAGGTCAGTGCCTCTGTGGAGCTGAAATTGCAATTTGAATGATTTGCATTTCACTTAAGACCTCGAAGTCAATGCAGTTACTGGAAAGCTTTAAAGGATGTTTGGATCAACTTGGGTACATAAGTGTATACTTGTAGCTGTAAGTTTTTTGAAAACTCAATAGAGATTAGTGGGGTGGCATCCACTTCCTAAACCACATGCCTCTGGAAAGTCTGTGAACTTTGATAAATGTTATAGAAAGGCTTCAGACCTTTTATTCATCAGGTCGCTGTGAGTCGTACTCAACTTGGAGGCAGTCAGCAACAACAACAAGAGGTACAGATTAACTTATTTCAGATGAACAGTTTACATCCAGACTAAGATGTGATGTACACACCAGATTTTGAAGACTTGTTATGTATGTTGCTGTATGCCTTTGGGTTGGAACCAACCCATAGCTCACCTTCCAGCAGATTTTCAGAGGCAGTAAAATCACACAAGAGGAAAAGTGGCCATACAACTCCCATACAGCAGCTGGTTGATTCAAACCACGTACCTTTGGGATTGCAACATACCTTCTTACACAGAAAACAAAATAAGGGCAACTGTGGAAAATGGTTATGAAAAGAACACATCTTTATTATTATTGTTGTTGTTATGTGCCGTCGAGTCGCTTGTGACTCATAGTGACCCTGTGTACAACAGCCCTAAACTCTGCTCTGTCCTGTGCCAGTCACACTGTCTCCGACACTCCCATCCCGATTATCCCAGTCACTGAATCAATCCACCTTATACAGGGTCTTCCCCTCTTGCGTCATCCCTCCACCCTCCCAAGCATGATGTCCCTCTCCAAGGACCTGTCCCTCCTTACAACATGTCCAAAGTATGTCAGACGAAGCCTCAGATTACCTTTATTAAAATTTTATATTGGTTTTCTCACAAAGTTGGTAGACATTGTGTTTCACGCTAGTCTTCTTTGATACTGTGTTTCATACAATCATTCCCGTGCTCTACGTTTTATAAAACCATTTGCAAGCTGATAGAGTCACTGCACAGTACAGCCAGCCTTCCTGCTTCCTTCCGCCTTGCTCTCAAAGCTGCAGCCTCCAGCAGCCCTGTGGCTGCATACCTGTGTGCTCAGAGGGGACAGTGAGTGGCAGTGGGCACAGAGCACCTGAGCCTGCCTGTCTAGAGGTACCTTCTGCCACACGGGAGTGGGCTTTCTCTGTGTGTGTGGTGTGCAGCCACCAGGTACTTCATTTCCATTCATATTCCAGTAGCAGTCTCTACTGTGCAACGTCAACCATGTTTAATACTTTCTCATTGATGGTTCTTTAGCTGGGCAGACATCACAAAGAGCTGCAGAAATTGGTGGAGACACTGCCGTCAATTAAGCACAAGGTAATTTGGGGGTTCCTAAATCACTTGAAATTTATTTTATGTTTCAGTCTCAAAGTGGAGACGTTAACAAGGCTCCGTGAATCAGGGAATGTAATTGAATTAAGTGTAATTAAGTCGAGTATAATTAGATTGAAATGTTAGAAGACGACTTGCCTCCAAGAAGGCTGGTGTTCAGAGAGACGCTAGCCCTTGGATACTTTTCAGAGGTGACTGTTGGGAGTGGCGGGGGGTGGGGTGCCTGTTGGTGACCCTGAACCTTCTGCTCTGAAGCAGACGAGTGGTGAGGACGCAGGCCTAGGGATGCAGCCATCTCCTGTCTGCTCCCTCCACCAGCCCCTGCTAAGGCCAGGTGCAAACAGTCCTCCTTCTGTAGCTATCCCCCCTGCCCCCCAGCAAGGGATGTGTGAAACTTACAGAAATCTAACCTGTCTGGCTTTACACAGGAGTTTAGGGGAGCACCAGATTGAACCCCACAGGCCGGGCTCCCTGTGGATGTTCTTTCTGTCTTGGCCCCCCACTGACCTCCATTTGAGTCCAGGATACTGGCTTCTCATTTGCATTTCATTCTGACCTCAACAATTCCTGGGAGCGGTCCCTCTGCACGCTCACTTAGAAACAAGGGAGAAGTGATTGTAGCTGTGGCCCGCTGAGGCTGCAGAGACACCAGAGGGTGGCAATGTGCAGGCGTGGGCATGGCTCTGTGCTCAGCCTGGGCTTCTGGGCTCCTGAGCGTCACGTCCACTGGCTGTTGCTCAGACACTTAATGAGAGTCATTCCCCAGGAGCTTGCACCCCCAAACACTGCCTCATCTCTTGGTCAGGACACCCTGGCGGAATTTGGGTCATTTGACCCCTCCTGCCTGATGCCTGCCTGTCCGGATTACTGGACCTACTCCGGTTCTCTGACCACCCCTCCGCTCTCGGAATCTGTCACCTGGATCATCAAGAAGCAGCCAATAGAGGTGGACCATGGCCAGGTAAGCACGTGCCACCACTTGGGCAGAAGCAAGTTCAAGTGCACCTGCACCAAACTGGGCTGGGCTTGGAGTCTGGCTGTCATTTTTAACAGCTTGTTCACCTGTCTCAGAGTAGATCATAGACCAATGTCTCTGAAGAATATAAACTCGAACTCATTTCTGTCGAGTTGTACTCTGTGTACAGTGACTCTCCATTGGGTTTCTGGGCCTGCGGATCTCAATGAGAGGAGACTGCCCATTTTTCCTCCATTAGAGTAGCTGGCAGATATATATGTGTATATATATACCTTCAAGTCAGAACCGACCCATAGCTGACTAGCTGACCCTCCAGCGGGTTTTCAGAGGCTGTTAATTGCACAGGAGGAGATTGGCCATCCTTCTCCCACGGAGCAGCTAATGGCCTTGAACCACGTGCCTTTGGGTTTACAGTGCAGCTGCTTGCCACCAGGCCACCAGAGCTGACAGATAGATCGATAGATAGATAGGTAATCTCTCTATCTCTGTGGTGTGGTGATGCCAACCCACCAAAGAATCCACCAACTGCTCTGGGGATAAAGATGACCAGTCTCCTCCTATGTGATTTCCAACCTCTAAAAACCCACTGGAGGGTGAGTTATGAGTTGTTGCTGTTGATACTGAAAAGGGACACTCATTGGCCTAATAGACAAGGGGTTGTGCTCCTAACCCCAAAGGTGGCACCTCTCTGGCAGTCCAAATCCACCAGTGGCTTCGAGGAAGAAAGATGGACAGTGTCCTCTCGTGTGACTTACAGCCTCCTGAAAACCCACTGGAGTCCAGTTCAGCTATGAATTGGTTCTAGCTGGTTTGTGATGAGAGAGAGAGAGACACAGACACAGACAGACAGACATGCTGAAATATCATTGGTTCTGCTATCAAATTAACAGAGACACCCCCACCCCAATTTGTTGGTCTCCACTGCTGGTAGATGCGTGGAGAAAGGCCATTTCACACCTTGCAGGTGGGAGTTGAATTGGTCCCATTAGCATGGCAATCTAAGCGAAGAGTCCATAATGTTTGGCAAGCAATTTATTCTGCAGATGAACTCAACATCTGAAGAATCAGGCATATACATAAGCATTCCTTATAAACAACCTAACCACCACTCAGTAGGTAAGTGGCTACATCAGTCATGGTAGAGCCACACAATGGAATCCTAATGGTTCTTTAATAAGCATTGGCATGCAGTTGTTCATAGGGTCGTGGTGAGTCCTGCTTGACTCATAGACGGCACCCCACAACAGCAGCAGCAGACATTGAGAAGCTCTTCTCCCAGACCGCACAGAGACCATGTGGAGGTGAGGGTGAGGTCTGAGAGGTAGCAGTTCAGAGAAGCAGGGGTTTCTGACGTGGAGATGGCTTCCTTCACTAATTCCAGTGACATTTTTGAAATGAATATTCCTGAAGCGTCTCCTCCAGGTAAAGGACTCATCTAAGTACTGAGAACAGCTGAATGAAGCAAACATAAAGTCCCCACCCTCAGGGAACTTGCCCTGTCATGGGAAAGGTACACATTGCAAGGAAAGAAAAGGCCAGTAGTTGTAGCTTGAGTTGAAGACAAGAAGAGAATCTCTTGGGTCAGATGCTAAGGGGGTGGGAACTGTTTTCCATAGGACTGAATGGTCTGAGAAGGTGGGAGAGCTTCAGTCCAGGGTTGAGCGGTGGGGAAAGGGAGGATCTTAGGGGAGCACAGAGATGCATTGGGGGAGTGCCACTGGGGTGAGTTGAGGCAGGAAGAGGCAGAAGGAAAATGGAAGAGTTTGACGCCAGCACCACATTTGCACATACAGGCGTTCTGGACTGGAGTCCTTTCCAGGTTGAGACTGCAAACCATGGGTGGATGGATGTCTTTGCTCCACACACATTCTCACATGCTTCCTGCCATGCCCTAGGCCCTCCTTTCTGTTGATACAGCCAACCTGGTGGTGCAGAGGAAATGCTGTGAGCAGGTTGTCCAGCCAGGTGGCAGCTGAGAGAGGGAAGGCTGTGGACGTACATCAGAGCGCGGTGCAGGAGACCCAGGCTGCTCCTCTTGTACTGAACCACACTGTCCTGTCCAAGTGCCACTTGAACTGCATGTGGCCTTTTAAGTTTAAGCATAAATAAATGAAAATGGAAAAAAAAAAAACCAAAACGAGAAATCCCATCCCTCAGTCAAACTTGCCAAATTCTTCATGCCCGGAGCTGGATGTGGGCCGGGCAGAGGTTCCACAAACACCCCCTCCAACGCCGGCCATCCCACGGCTCCTGCGGACGTCTCCGTGCGTGGCCTTCCCCACAGCACCCCATGCAGCGGGCAGTCAGTAATAAAACAATGTCTCAGAGAGGCACTCAGGAGAGTCACTGTACACATCCACCCTTTCCTTTATTATTCCAAATCAGCAAATCATCAAGTCGACACCGACCATGTGTGTGTCCGAGTAGACAAGTGCTTTCCATAGAGGCTTCAGTGACTGCTTTTTCAGAAGTAGATTGCCAGGCCTTTCTTCTGAGGTGCTTCTGGCTAGCTGAAAACCTCCAACCTATTGGCTAGAACCCCAGTCTTCAGACCACCCCAGGCCCCCACTAGACTCCCCACAACCTGCTGCTACACCAGCACATGGCAGGCCTTTTTAGTCCCATCCCAATGGTAAAGGCATTTGTGCCAAGAAGTAAGTTTTCTTTCCATATCCAGTTTTAGTCTAATTCTTTAGGGTTTTGGTCTTTTTTTTAATTAAAAAAAAAAAAAAGAGTCTAACTTCTTTGTTGAGTAAAGCTCTTTTCCTCCTGAGATTCATTTATGTCTCCTGTTTCTAGCTGGAGCAGTTTCGGACCCTGCTTTTCACCTCTGAGGGCGAGAAAGAGAAGAGAATGGTAGACAACTTCCGCCCTCTCCAGCCTCTGATGAACCGCACAGTCCGCTCGTCCTTCCGTCACGATTACGTGTTGAACACACACGCCACCTCCAAGCCACAGGCCAGCCAGGCCGCCTCCTAAGTATTCGATCTTAATGTGTGTTAACTCTTTAAAATCACTAGCTAGACTCTTAAACGGCTGCACTTTCATGCTAATTGATGATAATCACAGATGCCCATTTCTTGTTGGTACAGCGCCCCCACCCCCCAAGACTATGCACAAAGCTCTTTGCCAGCAGGTTCTTCCTGTCATCAGTAGTGAGGTTTAGTGTTGAAATACCAGCCACACACACAAGATGCTCTTCACACAGCAGCCAGTTGCTGCTTGGGATTCTGTTGTACATCTCGACTTTCCAGAGCTACTACTACTAGCATGTTATTGGTTCTCTAGAGATACAGGGAGGGATGGCAATCACAGTGCGCAGTGGCTGTGTGGCACTTACTCGGCCGACTGCAGGCCTGTCCCAAACAGCTGCCAGCGCAGGCAGACCCCATCAACCCTGCTCCCAGGGAGAATTTATTTCTGAGTGGCCACTTGTCCTCCTGTATAAGGGCTTCTCAGTCAGCATGTTGTTCCTGCTCCTTCACTGTCAGCACTAACTCATTATCAACTTACAATGGTAGAAAAGGCATTTTTGTAAGCAGAAGTAAATAAGGATCTTTGCCCATCTCCCCAAATCCCTGTGCCTCTCTGAAGAGCAGATCATTTCACCCAAAGGCTTGTTCCTGGAGAAGGCATCTGCAGAACCTTTGAGAGACATGCTTAATGTACCTAGAACTTGGAAGTTTTTCACGGACTTTGGTACAAATGGCAGGCATGCTTTTCACTCAAGTAGTGTGCAGTGTATGTTATTATGCTGCATTATTTATACACTGTTACATAGACTATGATAAGGTTAATCCTTCCCACAATGGCACAGCTGTGTGACTTCCCTTGAAAGCTGTCTGAACTTCCTCTAGTCGTTAGCTGATGTTGTTTGCAAGACAGGTTAGAGAATCAACTTCAAGCTCCCAATTTATACAGGAGTTTGGAAGATTTTTGTGACAGTAATAAGGAGAGAAATGTACCAGATAAGCTAAAATCGAGAACCCTCCTCATATTCTGAAGAATCCATGCCACAGTTGCCTTAGTCTGTAAATATCTTGGAATATTTCCAGCTGCCTTGAAGCCTGTATGTTTATTCAGACTCAATATGGCATCAGAAGCAATTTTTAAAAAAATTAATATATGAGTTTAGGGCTATCTCTTCATCAGGGTCCTTAACGAAGGTATAAGGTGCTGCTGGGTCAGCCCCTAATTCATGGTGACTCCATGCTGCCTTTAAAAGGAAAAACACAAAATGAAAGGGGAAAAAAAACTCAACACAAAATAAAAGGAAAAACACATTTCCCAGGACACTCAACCTTCCCACCAACATTCTGGCGCCGGATGTTTCTAATTGGAGTGAATACTGATTACAGAAGCCCTTATTTCTCCTTTTTCTGGAGTGGTACAAAGGATGTTGTGTTTGCAGCGTGCTATTGGGGTGGACTGCATGTCCTTGTTTGCCACTTCTGATAGGCTGATGTGTTTTGCTCCACTGTGATTACATTGCTCTCTTTTACTCTCAGACATGCCTTCTTGTGCACAAGATTTTAATGTAGGTACCTTTCCAAAGTTTTGAATAGCAATGGTATCTCTCTGGAGACTAAGGTGCGTTTGATACAGGCCATGGTGTTTGCAATCACTTGTTATGCATCAGAGAGTTGGACAATGACCAAGGAGGATAGAAGGAGAATTGATGCCTTTGAGCTATGGTGCTGGAGAAGAGTATTGAGAATACCATGGACTGCTAGGAAAACAAACAGATTCATCCTGGAGAGGGTCAAACCAGATGGCTCCTTGGAGGCAAGGATTCTGAGGCTCCGTCTGACATACTCTGGACATGTTGTGAGGAGAGACCGGTCCTTGGAGAAGGACACCATACTTGGGAAGGTGGAGGGACAGCACAGGAGGGGAAGACCCTCTATGAGGTGGATTGATTCAGTGACTGGGTTAATCGGGAGGGGTGTATTAGAGGCAATGCGATTGGCAAAGGATAGAGCAGAGTTTAGGGCTGTTGTACATAGGGTCGATATGAGTCGCAAGTGACTTGACGGCACATAACAACAACCTTCCTTATGAAGGTTATGGAAACTGCCTTGGAAATATGGTTTAGTCACAGTGCCTTAGCCATAGGCCACCCCAAAGGGCACGCAAATTCTTTAGTTCCTGATACACCTTAGCAAGAAACTTTCATGTTTCTAAGGTGCTTTGAGAAGTGTTTACATGTGCTGCCTTAGACATGCAGAGGCTCATGGTCAGCTAAAAAGGCTACAGAAAGAACTGGTGTGTTAAAATCGCTGCTCCTCTTCCTTGAGTAATACTAGACCGAGAAAACATTCTTTATAATACTAACATTTGGCCAAATAGCTTTCCCTTGCTAATTTCTGAAGCAATGTGTTCTTTAATTGGCTGAAATTGAGTCAGTTCTGACTCATGGGAACCAAATCCTATAAACTATAGCTGTTTTCTAGTTTGTAAGTTTTGTAGAAATGTATCACAGGACACCCCCCCCCTCCCGCCAAAATAAAGTACCTTTGGGTGGGTGGGTTCAAACTGCCAGCAAACCTTGGAAGAGAGTTGTTATGTATTGTCTAATTGGAACTAATTCATAACTGACCCTCCAGCAGGTTTTCAGAGGCAGTTAATTGCATAGAAGATTGCCCCACGAAGCAGCCGGTGCAGCCAAATTGTGCCTTTAAGTTAGTAGTTGAGTGCAAACTCTTCACACCACCCACACCCAGGCACCTTTGGAGTATATGCCTCTAAAATTACAGAGACATCTTGAAGTTTGTAAAGCTGAGAGTGACTGGAAAGCTGAGATGAGATGTACAGGTACTCCCTGCTTTATCAGTCCAGTGAGGACAGATTGTACTTTCCCACTGTGTATCTTAGCATTGGTAGTCTGCACTATGTACACTGTTGTATTGTATAATTTGCTGATGTTAATATTCTCCTATGTTCCTAAGATTGAATTTCTAAAGATGTTAACAATAAAAGGCAATAATGAAAACTTTGGGGGGGAGAAATCTTTGCCTTACATCAAAACTGGCTTACAGTGGGGAGTCACTGGAGCAGAACCCTGCCATAACTCTATGGACCAGTAGACTGTGCTTTCTTTCCTTACACTGCCATTTCTAGAAGTAAAAGTGTTTTAACTTTTCCTCCTGGATAATCAGCTGGTTTCTACTGACAGTGTCAAGGTAAGCATTTCATGGTCGTAGAGGCAGCTTGAAATATGCATACTTGAAAACAAGCAGATACTACCTTTCAAGATACACATTATGTTGCATATTAAAAGTAACCTTTCTCCTCACTCAGATGTCAAAGAATGTATCTTAGCAATAAAACTTTACAATAGATATTGAAACAAAATTATGACAGTTGCCAGTTTAGAAGGGGCTTGCCCTTAGAGTACTTTTGTAAAAAAATTAACAAAGCAGTTTAAGTTCATTCATAATCATTGTGAATGAACCATTGTGTACTTGAAACTGAACATGGTCACACCAAACCTTAACTTAAAAGTTTTTCTTTTCTTTTTTTTTTTTTAAGTTTTTAATGAAAGTTTATCAAGAACTTGCATTTCCATCCATTCATTGTTGCACATTTTCCTCCCTTTACCCCCCCTCCCAGTTTGCTTTATTCTTTGGAAAAAGAAGTTCTTTCATGGTTATACAGTTGTTCCCTCCTCCCCCCAAGTCCAGTTTACTGTGCAGCTCTTATTCTGGACTCTTGTCATGCCAAAAATAACTAATCACATATTCCTTTTATACAGTTCTCTCCCTCGTCTGTTTCAATGCAGTGTACATTATTTATCCCCTCTTTTCTTAAGTTTCCCCCAACCCTCATGTCAGTCCTGTTCAATAACAGTGACATTATGCAGTATTTGTCTTTTTGTGACTGAGGTATTTCACTCAGCATAATGTCCTCCAGGGTCACCCATTTCATGAGTTCTTTGTTTTTCTCCTTAAAAGCTTTCAATGGGTACCGATTACCTACAGTGTATAATTAAAGCTTTTCAGAATAGCATACAAGGAGTTTAATTTTAAAGCCCCATCACCACTGTATTTCCTAATGTGCACAAACTGCACTTTAAATGCCGTTGTCAAAAATTATTGTTCATTCTCCCCCCCCCCACACACACACACTAGTAAATACACTGTTTCCCCTCAGTTACTTTCGTTTGTACTGATCGACCTGCAACTCCATGGCCACTTCTATCCAAAAAACTCAGTCACCAAAAAGCTCGCAGCGAATGCCCAGGTGGAATGTTAACTTCGTCTTTCCATGGAGTTTATTAAATAAATCCTCTATAAACTAGTCCTCTTCTGCCTCTAGCTGTAAATGCTTAGGAGGCAGAGGTAACACTTTCCAGCGTCCCTATTTTATAGAGAGCTCGGGTGCCACAATTCACAGCGAGTTGTGGTCCGAATTCAGGGGGTTCAGATCCACCAGGAGATCCGCAAGAAAAAGAAGGGTAATAAACTTACCGCGCTATTTTTAGCCTCAGACAACCCGCTGGAGGGTCCAATATGAGTGCCTTAGTCCTTCACATGCTTCAGTTCCAGAGACTCTAGGTCCACGCGTGGGAAAGGTAGGGGTGGGGCCTGGAGCATCGTCTGCGCGCTGATAGGAAGAGCCGCGAAGGAGGCGTGGCCTAGAGCCCTCAGAGGAGTTGTGTATAAAACGGGCTACTCGTGTGGGAAAGGGCTTCGCAAAGGGCTGGGTAAAGGGGGAGAGCTGTCTTGTCAACCTGTCGTGGCGTTGGAAGACTGTAACAAACCACCAGAAGCGCTGAACAGATGATGACTCCCAGGATGGATTCACGGTACCAGAGGCCTCTGCGCGACGGTAACATGTGCGCGGACTAGAAGTCACGGCCACGGCGGAAAGCCTCACCCCGTCGCCCCCCTCCTCCCCCCCCCGGACTCCCGCGCCTTTGGCCTGTCCTGGCTCATTGACTCTGGTTGCGCGCGCAGACTTAGCCTTATTCCCTGCCTTTTCCGGCTCTCCTCTTCGGGGGCGGAGCGCTCTCTGTAAGATGGCGTCTCCGGAGAAGATGCTTCTCCCCGAGAGACAGAGGTGAGCCGTGTTTGGGGGAGGATAGATCGGGCGCGGGCGGGGCCGGGCCGGGGCAGAGCGGAAGCGAGCGGAGAGGAAGGGTCTGCGCGGGCTGGAGGGGATGCTGCGCGCCCCGCCGCTGCGGCTTGAGCCCGCGCCCCAAACTGTCAAAAGGGTCCTGGTACTGCGGAGGGGAACAGGCGGCGGGATGGAGGAGACCTCTCCTTGGAAGGGGGCAGGAGAAGGGGATGGGCGCTGCGCGCCCTGGAATCAACGCTGGGCGAGCAGTGTTTCCCTTCCCTTACCCGAGTCCGCGGTCTCTGATGGGTGCCTGTGTCCCTTTGCAGCCACCGAAAGTACCGAGCTGCCCTGAAGAAGGAGAAACGGAAGAAGCGCCGGCAGGAGCTCGCTCGATTGAGAGACTCGGGTAACGGACCCTGCACCTCGTTTTCTATGTGTGCTTGCGACTCCCCCCTGCCCCCGGCCACCCCGTCGCTCCTGCATGTCACCCCAGTGTAAGAGGAACCTAGTACCCGCAGAACAATGAGCCCAAAGGCGACCTCCACACTTTAGTTCTCTGGGACTCACGTAGGGAACTCGCTTCATAGTCTAGAATGGACAGGATGGGGGGGTCCGCGCGTGCGCGCTGGCCGCGAAGGGTTCTGAAGTGTCAGCATCCGGGTGTGCGCGGGGGACCCTGGCCTCTGCACGCTCCTGGGCTCGCCACCAAAAGTTGCCACGCTCCCCCCAAAATGGCTCTCCAAAGGGAGCCAATTTTGCCTCCATCTTGTACCTCAGAAAAAGCCCTTGAAGTTACAAGGCCGTGAAAAAGCCCTCCTTTGACCAGGAAACCCTAAGAAGCCACACTTCCCGCTCAGTTCCCAGTCTTCGTGCTGCCAGGACCTCAGTGACAAAGTTGGTGATAGCATGGCTTCCTTGGAGTTTGAGGGGCTCTGTTTTCATGGCCTGGCTACTTAACCCCCTCTCCCCCTCCTTTTGTAAATTCTTTCTTCTCCCCCCCCCCCCGCAATTTCCTTTTTCTTCTGGGAATTTCTTACCTTGTTCAGCATGACGCCTTTGGGCATCCAGCAGGACGTGGTGGCGCTTGGCCATCACAGGGCACGCAGGACTTCACAGAGCTGGGATCCCTGGGCTGCACAAACCTAAGTTGCGGTTGCCATTGTTGTTGCCCACCTCACTCTTTCACTGGCACTGCATTTGGAATGGCAGGAGCCCGGTGCTGGCCAGCATGCAGCCCTTGTTAGCATCTGTTAGTTGAGAACTGGTTTTCTAGACATTAATGACATAGGAAACGCAGCGAAGGGTCTAGTGGATCGTGCCCTTTAGTGCACTTTTCTTCCTTTAGCGACCTCACTTTGTGCGTTTGACTTGTTTTAAAAACATCTCCTTAGGGAGCTCTGGTGGCCTAGTGGGAAGAAGTTGCCCAAAGGCACACAATTTGAATCCCCCAGCTGCTCCGCTGGAGAAGGAGGGGCAATTTCCTCCTGTGCCAGTCGGATCTAATCAGAAGGTACACACACACAAAATTGTTAAAATAGCATAACTAGAGTCCAGAATGAAGGTTGCATAGTGTAATGTACTGGGGGGGGGGCATTTTATACCAATCAAAGAATGTTTCTTTTACTTTTCAAAGAGAGGAGCAGACTGGGCGGGGAGGGGAGGGCAGGAAGAAAAGTGCAACAATGAATGAATGGAAATCCAAAATTTCTGTAAACGTTCATTAAAAGTAATTAAAAAATTAATTATATAAGAAATTAATAAAATAAAATTTAAAAAAAATTTTAAAACCCCCAAACTTCTCCTTCCCCTCAACCTTTTAAATTTTATTATAACTACTAACATGATGTCTGTGGCTGGTTTTGGGGTTTTTTGGTTTGTTTGTTTGTTTGATTGGTTGGTTTTTTTTTTTCTTTTGCCTTTGTAGGCTATATCTAGAGTGGTCATTTCCTGTGGCGGTTTATTCAGTTGAAAGATAAGGCTTCATGGTCTCTTCCCGATTACATAGCTAATGGCAGACACAGGCCTAGGCATTTGTCTCTGCATTCGAGCTCTTAGTTCTGCCCATCTCCATCTTTGCTTCATGGTGGTTCATGATTCTGTGGACTAGGGAACACTGTTGCTCACTCACTGTAGGGCCTTTAGATGGGCAAACGTTCCTCAGAAGGCTGGGGTGGAGAGATCTTAAGGATGAGTTACCAAATGACTGGTAGTGTTTTCTAAATACTGTGATGCTGTTACACTGTGAGTGAGGCCTAGTGTGGTCATTCAGTTCATCAGATCATTTATTTCTAGAGGTTCGTTTTCCTCTCGGTAACTGTAGGGTGATGTTTTTAGATGACAGTAAATATCCACCTGCCAGTGAGCTTTTGTCTAGTGTTTTCAACGTCTGTCTACCTTCATTTTTGTAATAAGGGCTTGTAAAAATGATAATTTTCTGATTTTTATCAAAGTATTTTGGTTGCCAGTCTTCCGTAAAGAAGCATGTTCCTACCTTTTTTTTTTTTTTAATGCTGTTGTGGAGTCATTTCTTTTTTATTTTGCATGTTATCTACTGTTGTTCTTTGGTTGTTCCAAATCTGACCAGTTGGAGTCTTTATTATCAGAAAGCTTTAAAAGTAGGCTCATATCATTTCATAAATATCGAAGATTCTGTATATTTCTTTTCTTGAGTTATTAACCTAGGATTTGTAGTGTGTAGATAATATAATAAAACATTTCATTTCTGCCAGGACTCTCACAGGCAGAAGAGCAGGAGGAGGAAGATGCTTTTCTTGAAGAATGCCAACTGGAAGAAGAGAGGCTGTTGGAGACAGAGAGGTTTGCGTTGATTTCGGCCCTTAAAGTGAACACGGTTATTTAGAATATGATATGCCTTTATTAGTACAGGTGTTCTCAGTAAAACTCTGTATAGCAGTTAAACCCGTGAACCCATTTGAGGTGGAAACCTGTCAGAAAAGGAAAACAAGTTTGTTTTTGTTGGTTTTTTATGAAGTGTAATTTTATTCAGAAGGAAAAACCTAGGCCTAAGATGATTAGCTCTGATCCAATGCTCTTCTGGTTTTTCTTTCCTGAACTTTTTTTGGGGGGGGGGTGGTTATTTATTTATTTATTTTAGATTACAGTAATCAAACACAGAAATATTTGAAAAAAAAATGGAACACCACCAATTTGCATATAATCCTTGTGCAGGGCCATGCCAATCTTCTCTATATCGTTCCAATTTTAGTATATGTGCTGCCAAAGTGAGCACAAAATAGGTATTTTCTACTAATAGAAAATGGCAAAAGTGCCACGCTTGTGAGAGAGACACAGAAAACGAGGCAGCCCTGTCAAGTTCCAGCTCTCACAGTTTTACTGGACAAAGTAAACCTTGCATAGAATCTTCATGTCACTGGCTGCATAAGCTAACACTGAGTATTTTAATTCATGAATGTTGTTGCAAAAACATTCAAGCACAGAAATTAAAAGGGCTTAAATAAACACAGTACTCCAAAGGGAGCTCTGGTGGCCTAGTGGCAAGAAGCTGAGCTGTAATCCTGAAGGCACACAGTTCAAAGCCACCAGCTGCTCTGAAGTAGAAGGATGAGCAGTCTTCTCCTGCATGATTAACTGCCTCTGAAAACCCACCAGAGGGTCAGCTATGGGTCTAGTTCCAACTAGATGGTACACAACACCAACAACTCCAAAGATTGTTACTGTTAAGTAAGAGTCAAAGGAAGTGTCCAAATACTGTATGTGTATTTTTAAAATGGGTTAAATTGTAGCCATGCTTTTCTATATTTTAATTTTTTCAGAGTCTACTATATCTACCTGTGTATATATAGAGATATCAATATCAATGCAGAGATAGATTTTAATTGTTTTAATGGCAACATAGTATCAGCTATGAACTTTGCCTACCCTTTATTCATAATTTGCAGTTCACCAACTGATGTACATTAAGGCTTTAATGTTTTGTTACTACTATATAAAAGTTTCAAAGGAGCAGTCATGCTTGTATATGCTTGCAAATTGTTCGGTGGTCCCTGGTATATTTAGTATTCTTCATCAGAACCACAATTCAAAGGCAGTGATTCTTAGGTTGAAAATGTTGTTTAAATAGTATGGTATATAAAATATGCATGTTGCTAGGAGACATTACTGGCTAACCCATGGACTGCCAAGAGAACAAACAGGTATGTCTTGGAGAAGGTGCAGCCAGAGTGCTCCTTGGACGCAAGGATAATAATAAAGTTTCCTCTCACATACTTCATCATGCTTGGAGAGGTGGAGAGTCAGCAAAAGAGAAGAATACCCTCAACCAGTTGTATTGACATAATGACCACAATAATAGGCTCAAATATGTCACAGGTTGTAAGGTTGGCACAGGATAGAACAAAGTTCAGAACTGCTGTTCGTAGGGTCTCTATGGGTTATACTCAACTTGATGGCACCCAACAACAACAACATTCATTGGGCTATATCATTACCAAAAAAGTTTGACATATTAATTAGGAAAATGTAAAGCAGGGACATGAGGTGAGCACATACTTGTGGAAAGAGTACTGATGGACTTATTTGACACAGGGTTACCACAAACTTTCAGTTTGGGAGAAAAACCCCTTTTGTATGCCTGTGTTTTAAAGCAGATGTATGAAAGAATTCAAGTTACTAAATGTTAAAGTTTCAAATGTTTTACTTTTTGGTGACCTTACTATATATACCATTTTGGCTTGGTTTACATACTGTTGGTATGGTCCTCAAAGCATTCATAATTCAAGCCTGTCTCTACCTTGTGTCAGGTACCTGAATACAATGTATGCAATAAGCCAACTTCTACCATGTGTAAAAACTGCATTCCTGAAGTCTGGTTGGCAATGAAATATGTTTTCCCATTGTTGTTGTTGTGTATCATCAAGTCTGAACCGACTTCTCCTGACCTTCCAGTTCGTTTTCAGAGGCAGTCATTACTCAAGTAGTGATTGCCCGTCTTTTTCCTGTGGAGCAGCTGGTGAATTTCATCTACATGCTTTTGAGATGGCAGCACAGCTTCTAACCACAGAGCTGCTGTTGTTGTATGCCTTCGAGTAGGAGCCGACTGACAGCTAACCCTCCAGTGGGTTTTCAGAGGAAGTAATCTCATGGGAGGAGATAGCTCATCCTTCTCCCATGGAACAACTAGCAGATTTGAACCTTGTGCCTTTGAGATTGCATTGCATCTTCTTATCTCTTGGCCACCAGAGCTTGCTAGACATCACTATTATTATAACTTCTTGTCATCTTTTCTCAAAGCCTATAATATTATTTCTTTTCAAAGAGATAATCACAGTGTAGCTTTCCCTTCTTTCAACAGCTCAGGTGTTTGGGGACAAACTCTTCACCTGCCTGCCCACCAGTTGCTGCTGAGTCCACTCTGAGTCATGGTCACTGGATGACGTTGACGTTTTCTGTGGCTAATTTTGTGGAAAAAGATCAGGCCTTTCTTGCAAGGCACCTCTGGTGGACTTAAACCTCCAACCTTTAGACCAGCAGCTAAGTGCATTACCCAGGAATTCTAGGGTAGATCCCAAGGCTCTAGCCATACAGAGTAGCCCTCTAAAAGTTTTTGGCAGAGAATGCCAAGTTTTCATAATGCTACAATCACAGAATCACCACTTGTAATATGCACAGAATTGAATTGATGTCAGAAGCTAAGTGTTGGTTTGAGGCTTGGTACACATTTTATTGGCCCCCAGATGTTACTGTGATGGTTGTGTCACCTTTTTTATGTGAAAGATGGCCCAGACATACACACAAAGTATAGATGTAGTCACTTCACACTCTTGCCCTCGAGGGAGACGATTGCTAAAATGTAGTGCTTGTCTAAGATTTCCTCTTTATTCTAACCTCACATTTTATGGAAAGCATCTTCTAAGACATTTTTATCATTCTTAAGACATGATTTTGTTATAATTGTATTTGTAGACTAATCCTAATTTATTTTGATGAATTGACTACATCGTCATGTTGCTAGGAAAAAGTTGCATGAGGAGTGGTTACAGAGAGAGCAAAAGGCACAAGAGGAGTTCCGAATAAAGAAAGAGAAGGAAGAGGCAGCCAGGAAGCGGCAGGAAGAGCTAGAGGTGAGGTGCTAATCAAGGGAATTAGTCAACTCATTAGTTAATCATAGTGACCTCATTGAAATTCAGGATGACTTTTCTCTTGTTGACAGTTGCATATCTTTTCAACAATGAATGAATATTTTTTTGTTTGGGAAAAAAAGCAAACTTGAGGGGGTAGGGAGGAAAATGTGCAACAATTAATGAATGGAAGCCCAGGTTTTCTGTAAACTTTTGTTAAAATCACAATTTAAAAAAATTCTTTAAAAAAATAAGAGTTGCACGTCTCGCCCAGCAACAAAATAACAACCCTGCTCAAAAGTGTACAAAGACCCCAAGTCCAAGTCAACATAACAGCAACTAATAACAGATGTAATTCTAATGATATAGCAATACTGATTCGTCACTTGTAACAAACATGTGCAGAGTCTAAATATCGGAGAAGCAGTGGCCTGCGCGGACAGAGTTTCTCATTCGCCAACTCTGCACTTTCTGCATAGTTTTTACGAAAATACAAACCTGCTCAAAAATACTGTCCACTCTAAGACTGGGCAAAGGCCTTGAATAGACAGTTCACCAAAGAAGGTGTAATGTGCACATTACATCCTAGGTGCACATTCTACATTTTTTGCCAATCAAGCCCTCACCCTCAAAAGTATTTTCATAAGCATACTATGCTGATGATTTTACATGTTGACATTGTAAATCTCCCTTTCCATAGGCATTATTTGCATAAAAATATGGTGCAAATCTCCAATGGACACATGAAAAGGTACTCAACTGTCATTTGTTCTGTATCCTCCTAGTAGCTCTCTGACTGGGACAGATCTGAACCTTGCCTCATCCTGCCCCAGCCTCATGATCTCCAGCATGCTCGAGCCCAAAGTCACTGTGACAGTCCTGTTGGGACCTGTCCTCTTGGTTGTTGTTTTGTACCCTTAGGTTGGAACCAACCCATAGCTGACTGGCCAACAGGTTTTCAGAAGCATTTAATTGCATGAAGGGAGATTGCTGGTGGATTTGAACTGTCTGCCTGTTGGTTGCCAGTGCTTACCACTGCTAGGCCATGCAAATTAAACCCACCAAGGAGGTAGGTTAGGTGGCAGTTCACTTGTGCTGGAATGGCTATTATCAGAAAACCAGCAAGTGGTAAGAGTGTGGAGAAATTGGAACTCTCATCCACTATTGGTGGGATTGTAAAATATCATGTCCCTTATGGAAAACAGTTTTGCATTTCCTCTTATACCCGGTGATTCCACTAGGAGTTAAAAGCTATTAAAACTTAACAAAATTTGAGCATAAGATTTTTTTTTTCCTGAGCAATTAAACATAAAGTGAGAACATTTTGCTTCCAGAAAAAGAAAATAGTTCAAAGAAGCAAGGTACAGTGGTGTTTTAAGGAAGGAGCAAGGAATATAGATCAACTTCTATTTTTTGTGTAATCCATTGAACCTTGCTCCCAAGCCCCTTAATGAGATTAATTGATAGTGGTTTGCTTCTGACCTGGCTGCGAATCATTTGGCTGCCACTCACCTGCAGCCCGTAGACATTGTAAGATTAACATTAAGAAATAATGGCTTCTTGGCACACTTTGGTGACCTAGTGGCAAGAAGCTGCACTGCAATCCCAGAGGTGCGCGGTTCAAATCCACCAGATACTCTGCTGGAGAAGGAGGAACAATCTCCTCCTGTACCAGTTAGATCTGATTTGACGGTACACACACAAAAATAATAAAATAAAATAAAAAATTTTTTAAAAAAGAAATAATAGCTTCTTGATGATCATTTTCTATATTTGTCATTGCTGGCAGACTTTTTTAATGGTTGCTATTTGGTTTCCTTTATTAAAAAAATTGGTTTTTTTAAGGTTTTTGTAAACCTTAAAATCAAAGTAAGATGTCTATGAACTAATTTTCCTCTTCAGCAGTAGATATCCATCCAAAAGAGTTGAAGTCAGGATCACAAACAGATACATGTAGAGGAGTGTTTGTTAGAGTACCATTCACAGTAGCCAAAAGGTAGAAACAGCCAAAATGCCCATCAACAGATTAATAACACATATAAAATGGTCCTCAACCGTAAATGAGATGAAGCCCTAACTCATGGACCTTGAAATACGCTAAGTGAAAGAAGTGACAAAAGAGACAACTATTGCATGATCTCACCCACATAATACATACCTATCAGGCAAATGTTTCAAGACTGTGACTCATGAGTGCTTAACTGAGGCAGGTGGGGTCGGGTGGGGAACAGGGACAATACTTAAGAAGTAAAGAGTTTCTGTTAAGGATAATGAAAACTTTTGAAAACAGGTAAATACAGCAAAGCATGTCATTGAATTTTGCACAGAAGTATAAAAAAAAGTTTGAAATATTTTCTTGCCTAGATTTTGACAGAATAAAAAATTAATGTCTCTTGAACTTTTTCTAAAAATCAAATGTCCTTCTTACCAATGTGTTTAAATTGCTGTTTTTATTTATCTGCTCTGTATATTCAATGTTTGTAAAACATGAGTCTGAAAAAACTGCCCTTATGTTGTTTCTAGAGGAAATTGAAGGAAGAATGGGAAGAACAGCAGAGGAAGGAGCAAGAAGAGGAGGAACAGAGACTTCAGGAGAAGAGAGAGAGAGAGGTGATTCCTGTCCCGGGAAGATGGTCTCATTGCATATCCGCTTGGCGTAGAAAGGGCCTTGAGATGGTCTTGAAGAGAAAGCTGAGGGCACGGGAGGGTTTAGGGGCTCTGTGTCTACAGAAAGAATCACACCTTAAGTATTGGCCTGTGCTGGGGTTTGCTTAAGGTGATCTGAAATGGCAGATAGAGAGTACCTGAAGTTAAGGGTTTTCTTCCAGGTAGTCAGCTTACTCTTTGTGCTGGGAGTTGGTAATTGTTTTCTCTGAAAATCTGGCCAGTGTTTCAGGCCTTGGTCCATACAGTAGTCTCTGGTCCATACACTGTAGCACAACCAGAGGAACTTCTCTGAGGAGAGTGTAGGGTCGTGGTGAGGAGTTTGGATTTTGTGCTGAGTGTCATGGGAAACCATCAAACGGTTGGAGCAAGGAATAATCTCGTCTAATTAATATCTTATCCTTTACCATGTTGGTGAGCAATAATAAATAGGAAGGCAAGATTAGAGACGCAGTGACAAGGTACAGAGCTGCTATTCCAGACACTGAGGTGATGGGGATCCGAGTTATAAAGCTAGGTGCACAGATTTAGGGCAGTTCTGGCCAGAGGGGTATCCTGGAGGCTCCGTGGGGAAGTGCTTGGACCCTAACAGAAGGGCCAACAATTTAAACCCACCAGCAACTCAGAAAGATTTCAGCCTTGGAACCTGACAGTGTGATTTTATGGGCCTTAGGGTCCCCATGAATCAGAATTGACTTGATGGCTATGGATTTCCCATGACTAGATGGAGCTCTGGTAGCCTAGTGGCAAGAAGCTGCATTGCAATCCTGAAGGCCTGTGGTTCGAGGCCACCAGCTGCTCCACAGGATGATGGGCAAATCTCCTCCTGTGCGATTCACTGCCTCTGAAAACCCACGGACGGGCCAGTTATGATAAACAACAACAGACAGTTAGCAGGACTTTAGCTGGCCAGTTGTATGTGGGAGAGGAAGCAACACGGAAGTCATGTTCTTAAGTTTTTATTTTAAACAAGTGAGAAAATAGCAACGGCATTTAGGTAGGAAAAGGTGGGAGGGAACAAAAACACTCTTTTGAACACATTTAAGTTTCTCAGTGGAGTTAGCTAGCAAGCAGCCATAACCATGAGACATCCGTGGAATGCTTTAAAGGGGCTAGGGAAGAGAAGTCTGTTGACCATACAACTTACTTAAATGCCAGTTGTAGTTGCCGTGTGCCACTGAGTCAGAACCGACCCATAGCTGACGCGCTGGGGAGGTTTCAGAGGCAGTAAATCCCACGGGAGGAGATGGCCCATCCTTCTCCCGCGGAGCAGCTCCTCCCTGTAGGGTCACTAGAACTGTAAATCGACTCAAAGGCAGTGTGTCCTTTTGTGTCTGGTTACTGTTTTTCAGTACCAGGAGTCCTTCTTGTGCTCATGGTGAGCACATAGCACAGAGTAGAATTGCCCCATTGCTTTTTCTAGTCTGTAGTTTTGAAGGGGGCAAGTTGTCAGATCTTTCTCCTGCAGAGCTTCTGGGTGCTAGCCTGAGGTATGGCCTGAGACGTATGGGCACAAGGTACAGCCTCGCACAGCTTACAAATTGCTGCCTGTTCCAGGAAGTAGTGTAGGAATAGGGGATCTTCAGTATCTTAGCAATGTGATCTGTTATATTTTCTATTTAAACAAAGTTCAGCTAGAAGTCTTTTGAAAGCTTTTCAAAAGATCTGTCCGGTAGAAAGCCAGTGAGACTTGAAGCCTTCTGTATGTGTGGTTTTGTTTTTATATTGTTGCACATGAGATTCTTAACGAAAGAAACCAGGAGTAATTTGCGTTTTCACTCGTCCTGTGTTTGCACCATTTGTAGGAAGCTGTCCAGAAGATGTTGGACCGGGCTGAAAATGAGGTGTGTTCAAAACTTTTCATTAAGACTTTGTGACCCACTAGTGTTTCTTTCCAAGCGGTATTTCAAATAATACTGGTTTGTGCCAGACTCTTTGGTTTACTTTGGATTTCTGGAGTCATTCTGGTGGCTCTGCTAGTTATACAAGAACAAACGTTCAATGATGAACAAAACTAAAGGGTATTGAATCACTGCGGTGGACTGGACTCATTTGTCATCCTCATAGCATTTGTGATAGCTATCACGTACTGTTACTCCCAGATGGCTGTTGAATTGGATTCAGAACGAGTTCTGTTCTGTCAGCGTTGGTTGTCTAATACACACTTTCCTTTCAGGAATGTTGGACAGAAGGGAGACTGAATAGCAGTCATACTTAACTCTGGGAATTATGTCAGAAAAGTTGTTGATACAGTCTTGATTGCATGTTACCACTTAGCTGTGTATATACTCTTAAATGAATCCATTTTTATTTTTAACAGAAATATATGAATATGTGTTTAGATATGTACCTTTTTTTAATGGATTTTTATACCACCAATAAAGTCATGGTTATTTTTAACAGTTGGAAAATGGTGCCACATGGCAAAATCCAGAGCCACCCTTGGATGTAAGAATAATGGAGAAAGACCGAGCTTACTGTCCATTCTACAGTAAAACAGGAGCGTGCAGATTTGGAGATAGGTAACTAATTTTGCTTTATCATGTGAGAATTGAGTGACTCAAGAAAGTGACGTTTTTGAGTGCTTTCCTTAGGAGTTGTCCTGGCTTGCGTCTGAAACGCCTGTCATCTGGTGGCCACCATGCTGTTGCAGCTCTGGTTCTGGTGGCGGTCCTCCTCGGCTTCTCCCCTATCTACCTGTCCCCTGGGTGGGCCTCACCTAGTTTTCTGGAGGTAGCTGACTTTGGATCAGTAGATGGGGAAATAATTTCTTTCTGCTATCTCAAGAAAGGGCAGTGTGGCTTTCCTGGCATAGTGACAGCCAGGCCCCAGCTGAGATCATAGTCCAGAGAGGACGGAGCACCCTCTGCAAACAAAGAATTCCACCTAGCCCCCCGGAGGAGATATTGGATGCCCTCTGCAACCGGAAGGTTCCTCCCAGCCTCCCACCGGAGGGGATGCCATGTCTGAACTTTGGTCTTAGTTTAAAGATTAAGCGTACCCATTGTTATGTTGGCAACACTTAAGTATAAGGAAAATTTAGTCTCCAGAGATTGAATTTTTTTAGGTGGATTGGCTTAAACTAAAGAAAAACCTTAGGGAGAAAGAAAGGGGCCTTTTCGCAGTGCTAAGCAGTGAGAGGACCTCTTCTTCAGTCTCTCTCTTTTTCAGATTTTATTTTCCAGTGTTCCTGCCTTTTTTTTTTTCTTTTTCTTTCTTTTTTTCCTTTTCTTTCTTTTTTTTTTTTGTAACAAGGAAGCCTTGTGGCTTTATTTTTCAGTGGCAAACTCTTTGACAAAACAGACTTAGAAAAACTGATGATCAAAAAAGATAGATCAAGGGCCATCTGTGAAAGCCAGACTCCAAGTGAAAAGATGGAAAATCTTTGGATTGACTATTTAAATTCACTGTTCAGACCTACTGGTTGGCAGTTAGCCCTTGGTTCCAAACCCAAAGGTTGTGGTTTGAATTCACTCAGCAGCTCTGCGGGAGAAAGACCTGGCAATCTACTCACATAAAGATTACAGCCACCACCACACACAGATCTCAAAACTGTCCCCTCAGTTAAAAAACTGGCTGTCACTGTAGCCACTGTCACTTTGGGCAAGTTACTTAAGCTCTCTGGGACTTGGTTCTCTCATCTGTAAAGGGAAATGGCGTATACTAGCCCAAGCACTTGTGAGTTTTATTACTTGGCTCATTTATGAATGAACAACTGGGTAAATAATTCAAAATAAGAAGTTAATCTCTCTAAGACAAATGAATTATTCCTGTGGATTCTGTAGATCAGAAGAAGATCTAACCATAATCTTAATGTCCTTGTAATCCTAAGAAGGGGTTGAATAGACAAATTCCTGTGTTTTCCCTCAAAACAGTCTAAAATTGTCCATGTCTTCACATGGATTGATTTCCTTTTTGGAAATTTGAGCCTTCATTTTTAATTTTTTTAAATTATTAATATTATTTATTTAAGCCCTCATTCCTTTTCACATTTTTTAAGAGCAGTGCTTTTCAACCCTCAATGTACATTATAATCATCTAGGAAATGAAAAAAAAATCACTTGTTATGCATCAGAGAGTTGGACAATGACTAGGGAGGATAGAAGGAGAATTGATGCCTTTGAGCTGTGGTGCTGGAGAAGAGTATTGAGAATACCATGGACTGCTAGGAAAACAGATTCGTCCTGGAAAGGGTTAAACCGGGTGGCTCCTTGGAGGCAAGGATTCTGAGGTTCCATCTGACATACTTTGGACATGTTTTGAGGAGAGACCGGTCCTTGGAGAAGGACATCATGCTTGGGAGGGTGGAGGGACAGCGCAGGAGGGGAAGGCCCTCTAGAAGGTGGATTGATTCAGTGACTGGGGTAATCGGGATGAGTGTGTCAGAGGCAGTGCGATTGGCACAGGATAGAGCAGAGTTTAGGGCTGTTGTACATAGGGTCGCTATGACTCACAGGTGACTCGACGGCACATAACAACAACATGTTCCAATTGTGCCTCAGATTGAATGAATCAGAATTTCTGGCATTTGGACATCTTTAGTTTTGAAATGTCTCTCAAGTTGCTTCTGACGAGCCCCCAGGACTGAAAACTATGTATGTAGAAGATATAACTCCTTTTCGGTTATGTGGGTTTATTTGTTTTCTGAAGCTATTTCCAGTCTGGGAAGATGAGTGGAACAGCCGGATTCTGCTAAGGTGTTTTTCTGGTTTAGGATTGAGACTAGGGTGTGAGCTGATTGGATTTGGCTTCGCCATTCTTGCCTCCAGAGAGCACTCGGACCACTCTTGGTCCAAGAATTACCTGTCCGTTCTTTTGGCAGTCCATGGGATATTCAGGGCTCTTCTCCAGCGCCACAGCTCAAAGGCACTAAGCTCTCAAAATCTATCCCTGGGAGTCATTGCAAGTAAATATTGACAGTGACCAGGTCAGTGTATGAACATTTCTTACCGTTTTTGTAGGCATATGAAATTTCAACAATAAAACCGTCTTTAAAAAGTATGAGAATGACTCGAAAAGTGCAACAATGAATGACTGGAAACCCTAAGTCTCTGTAAACTTTCATTAAAATTATTTTTTTTTAAAAAAGAAAAGAAATGTGATGTGTCAGAAGATTCTCATTACAAAAAAGGTATGAGAGTAGGAGAGCTCTGGTGGCCTAGTGTCAAGGAGCTGCACTGTAATCCCAGAGGTGTGCTGTTTGAATCCCCCAGGGGCTCTGCCGGAGAAGGAGGGGCAATCTCCTCCTGTACCAGTCAGATCTGATTTGATGGTACACACACAAAATAATAAAATAAAATTTAAAAAAAAAAGGTATGAGAGTGACTCAGGTATCTTCATCATTCAAGTGACTGAGAGAAATTCTGTGAGCTTGTTGTTGTCATTGTTAAGTGCCATCGAGTCGTAGGCAACTCATAGCAACCCTATGAATGAAAGTCCTCAACACTTGTGTGACTTTCATTCTTCTTCCAGGTTCATAGGGTTTCCAGAGGCAAGCTATTGTGGAAGTGGATACCCACTCCTGCTTCTAAACAGTTAGGAAATCAGGGGCCAGTACTTGAGATAAGTGTACTGTTCCCCTTTTAGAAGTCTCTGACTTCCTTCAGATCATTTCTTGCCCATTTCTAAGGTATGTCGGCACCTTGGAAAAACTTGTTGTGTAAGCGTTTCTTTGCTTATTTGATTTTGCAGTTAGGTTCAGTTCTAGACTGTTTTGGGAATTGCTGTCTTTTTTGGAGTCACAGCTTTGAGGAGAATTCTGGGTTTTGATTTTTCATCTTAAACAAACATCTTGACAAAAGATAAACCTTATTTGTCCGAGTATTTATAGCACATTGCTTACAGAAGGGCTTTGCAGAAGATACCCTACTGCACTATGTTAAATAAGATGGAGAAAATTAAAAGCAAAGATGGGGGTGGGGGAACTGGGTCATTTTGAATGCATTTGACTGGTTTCTAATGCATCTCAGGCAGATAATAAACACTATGGGTTTTTTTTGCCAAAGAAGAAGAATGAGTGAGATCTATGGAAAGACAAAGCTTGTTCTGGTGGCAGCCCATAATTATTTTGCCTGTGAAATAGTGTATAAAGACATGTGGACAGCACCTCTGATAGATGTTTTATGATGTTTGTATATATAGGGGTTTTTTATTAATTCTAATGAACATTTACAGAGATTTTGGATTTCCATTCATTCATTCACCCTCCCACCTCCACCCCGAGTACACTCCACTCTGCAACCTTCATTCCAGACTCTTATGATAATCATAATACCCTATATTGATTTTAAACTGTTCTCTCCCTCATCTGTTTCAATGCCGTATATATACTTTATCCAGTTTTTCTCATTCTTACCCCAACCCTGATGTCTGTCCCATTTTACAACAGTGGCACCATGCAGTATTTGTCCTTTTGCATCTGAGATGTTTCGCTCAGCATAATGTCCTCCAGGGTCACCCATTTTGAATAATATTGTGTGAGTTCCTTGTTTTTCAATGCAGCGTAGTATTCCA